TGGAGATTAAGAAGCATTTGTTTGGATATCGAAAGAGGGTGTCGGATGAAGAGAGCAATAGAACACGCATGAGTGGAGTGGCCTGAGTGACTGACCCAAGAAAAGCCCCCCCCGACAAAGGAGGGAATCTATCAGTTTGACCACTATTGCACACCTTTCGTACTGGGATGGAGACTTGTCCTCCATGTTGCCGTCTTCATGCTGACTGACCCACTGACTCCCACAATATTATGTAGCCACATTCATGCTGCGTGCATGTATACATGTTCATATCCACTAAATATTGTGAAGATATAGATTTATCTTCCTTGTTTGACATCTGCCTCAATGAGTTCATGTTGATGCAGGTCACAGGAGGATGCTGAATCTTTAGGTTATATTTGGGTTTATCTTTTGTAGATTTTGATGATCTTTCTTCTTCTTCTTCTTGTTCTTCCCCTCTCTCTCTCTCTCTACCTAGTCAAACAAGAGAGGGCAGAAGGTGCAATGCAACTCCCAAAGACCAGCTACATCTCAAGTTTCGATGAACTAAACTACATAATTACTTCGGAGATCCTTTTCGAAGCGAAGAACAACTCATTGCCCGAGATTAGCCATCAACTTAGTGAGGCATGCATGAGGCAAATCAGCAGCATGAACGTAGTGGAGGAAGCTCTCTACTGTGTAGCCGTTCGGTCAACAGCAGTCTCCTTTCTAATCTCCCTTTCATGGTTTAGTTTATTGCTTTTGGTATGCTCATCTTTCTTTCTCTCTCTACGGTGCTTTGAAATCTGAGCAAGTGCGTTTTGCATTTCCCACGAACATGCTTCCCACCCCCAACCCCAGAATCCTTGAAGATACACACACTATGGTCCAAAACAATTGGCTCCCTCTCTTTCTCTCTCTCATTCCTTCTTGTACCTTCTTTTCTTTGTCTCCTACCCAACTTCCTTTATTCTTCCTCACCATCTATTTCTCTTAGCTAGCCTATGACAACTTAAGCCTCACTATTTGTGCTGCCCAAAGTCTCCTATTCCTTTCCTTAATGGAGGCTAAGGTTTTCTGGCCACAGGTTGGTGATGCCGGTGGTGGATGCAGATGCCGCCGCAAGAGGAGAGCCTGGCTTCGCATGTGGCATTATCTCGAAGCCACATGAAGAAATCATGCGCATGAGCACGTATAAAGTGGCTGCGGGGAATTGAGGTTTATGGTCCGAGATCTGTGTCTATCATCTCTTCTTCACTGTATCAATGTCTTCTTCTCTGTCGGTGTGCATGGTTTTCTTTGTCTTC